TCTCTCTCGCTCTCTCTCTCTCTCTCTCGCTCTCTCTCTCTCTCTCTCTCTCTCTCCTCTCTCTCTCTCGCTCTCTCTCTCTCTCTCTCTCTCTCTCTCTCTCTCTCTCTCTCTCTCTCTCTCTCTCTCTCTCTCTCTCTCTCTCTCTCTCTCTCTCTCTCTCTCTCTCTCTCTCTCTCTTCTCTCTCTCTCTCTCTCTCTCTCTTTCTCTCTCTCTCTTTTCCTGCCCTTTACACACTCGTTCGCTCTCTCGCTCCTACTTTCAGCGACCACACAATAAGCCAGTGCCGATAGATGGTGATGGGTTACAAACTTACAATATAGGCCTACCTGTACCATACAGTGCAATACACAATACAGTGGCGGGAAACGACGAAACTCGTGTGAGTTACACTGCCAGTCGGCACCCAGGAAGGGTGCAGGTGGACAGATCGTACAAATCAATCATAAATGCGACGGAAGCTGACAGATTAAATCAAACAAAATTACAAACGTGCGATGGTCTAACTTTACTCTTCAAAGCATGGAGAGCTCACCAGATCAATACGAGTGTTTGGTTTCTTTCTTTTTGACATATTCTCGTGAGCGACTGCCGTCCGGCCGAATGGTGTGGGTAAATAGAGAGTAAATCTAGGCGTGCTCAGAATTTACGTAAAACAGCGACGTCACCAACCCAGCCTTTCTATTGGGGTGTACGTGATCTGTATGTTTGGCTGTCCGTCTGCCTGCCTACCCATATGTCCGTCCATTCGTTTGCCCGTCCGTCCGTCCGTCTGTCCATCCGTTTGTCCATCCGTCTGTCCATCCGTCTGTCTGTCCGTCCGTCCGTCTGTCTGTCTGTCCGTCCGTCCGTCCGTCCGTTTGCCTGTATGTCTGTCTGTTCGTCCGCTCTAAATTATCATTGTTGTTAGATTACTTCGTTGCCTACGACGTGTATTGACCAAAAAGATACCCGAAGATACGATCTGGTATTTTTGCATGTCGGTCAATACTCGGTGAAACAGATTATATATGTTACATAAAGTTAGCACCAGTTTATATTGACAACGGCTTGCCTCTAGCCACGTCCCACATTCTCCATGCTTTATTCAAACGCATCCCCTCGTGTACGCCTATACCTGAGCCTCTTCTTTCTCCCGTTAGCTGCCCCTTCTATCACAGCGGATACAAACATCACATATTCTCAAAAAGCATCCTCAAGAGAGAGCATCCTCAAAGAGAGCATCCTCAAAGAGAGCATCCTCAAAAATAAGTCCAAAATATTACGCTGTCCACGCTCGTAACAACACGTCTAATTTATCGACGCCGGTAACGAATGGCGGAAAACATTTCTAATTAAGCACGTTATAGACCCTGTCGTGAATTATTCATTTCATTTTGGTAAAGGGCAGCTAGTATATAGGCAATTCGCGAGAGTTCGCATGCGTGTCAGGTTTTGTTAGTGATTCGTTCCTTTCGCCTCTCATGTGCACGCAGTAGAATGCCGTACGCATGCGTCAGTCACCATCGGCACGTCACGTTCACCCAACCATATAGTCACTATGAAATATTCAACACAATCACAGTGCAGCCGTATAGCCAGCCAGCCAGCCAGCCACCGTCTAACCTCGTTTTAATTACACAGGGGCGTGTACAGGGGGGGGGGTCCGGACCCCCCCCTCCCTGCTCGCGCAGAAAACGCATCTAAGGGGGTCTAATTTCAAAATTTTCATGGGGGAGAGCCCCCCAGACTCCCCCCCTTCGCGTGCTCACAAGTTTGGGTTAGTGTTAGACCACCCATGGTACAAATCCTGTACACGCCACTGTTACATGCCCCACATGCACGCGTGATAAGTTAGAAGAATGCGTACGTAAACCAGACGTTATGGTTAGATTATTTACGTAGTTACTATTTAAAACGCACACATATACATAATTTTGTTTACTTTATAATGGCTATTACTCTACCCATATTGCTTAATTACGCACAATCGTTATAAATGCAAATAAACGTGCATGTTATGAATAAAAGCATAATCAAGATAACGGTTGTCACCAGAGTTAAATATTTGTTATGTGAAGAAAGCTGACGTTATATATAAACCTGTTAGACGAATTTTCATGTAATGGCAGATGAGAGGATTAAAGTGGATCAATAACCGAATAAATCTATGGGTAATTTTGCTGTGTAACTGTACGTGTGTGTGTGTGTGCGTGCGCGCACGCGTGCGTGCGTGCGTGTGTGTGTGTGTGCGTGTGTGTGTACGTGTGCGCGTGCGTGCCTGCGTGCTTGTGCTTGTGCGTGCGTGCTTGTGCGCGCGTGTGTAGGCGTGCGTGCGCGCGCGGGTGTGTGTGTGTGTATGTGTGTGTGTGTGTGCGTGCACGCGTGCGCGTGTGTGTACAGCTATAGCTCAAGGATGACAGAATCGTTCCTGATTTCAGTTGGTGAGAGAAGTGCTACATTTGCGTGAGAGTCTGCATCAAGCTGCCGTCGCTGTTATGAGGAGTCAGAAAAAGCTGCAGATACAAAAGGTTTGGTTCAGTATGACTTCCTCAAGCTCCCATGCAACACGATTGATTACCGGTATAGAGAAGCTTTGGGTCATTCCGACTTGTTCACATTCCATCCCACGCGACTAATTACTTATTAAAGATGTTATTAGAGATTATAAATATTAGATATAAGATAAAACTTATTAGAGATTAGAGATGAAGCACATGTTCTGTGTTTCAGTTTAATTAGTTTAATCATGTTGTGTGTTACAGATCGCCATCATTTGTGATGTCGTCCTAGTATGAATAAAGCGATATCTGAAAACAGTATTCCATACTTATTTACTTATGTAGAGAAGATGTTGGTTTCGTATAGGTCCCATCACCTACTACAATCGTGACTGACAGTATGCGTGTGCGTGTGCGTGTGCGTGTGCGTGTGCGTGTGCGTGTGCGTGTGCGTGTGCGTGTGCGTGTGCGTGTGCGTGTGCGTGTGCGTGTGCGTGTGCCTTTGCCTTTGCCTGTGTCTGTGCCTGTGCCTGTGCCTGTGCGTGTGCGTGTGCGTGTGCGTGCATGTGCGTGTGTGTGTAGTTTGTCCTCGCTCTGTGTGTGTCATTGGTACGTGCGTGTGTATGCGCGTACTAGCAGATGTTTGTGTACACACTTGTGCATAGACGTGTTAGCATATGTGCGCATGCGTGTGCTCGCGTTTGTGTATGTGTGTGTGTGCAGGTGTGTGTTTGAGGTGCGTGTGCGCGCGTGTGCATGCATTTGCACGTTCGTGCGTGTGTGTGCGTGTGTGCAGGTATCTGTGTGCGTGCTTGCGCATGCCTGTGTATAACTCAATTGAAAAATTTATTTCTCTTATTCATTGTAATTATTACAGACGAAGACGAGGAGGTTGATAGACAGCCTGCAGCGCAATGACGCCATTACTAGAGCGATGAGCCTAGAACACGACAAGCAAATGCAGGACGTCACCTCGAAGCTTATCTTTCTCCAATCAAAGATCAGGAAGGATCAAGCTGCGATCCTAATGCTTCTAGAAAAGAAAGACGAGGTCTAGAGTTATTTGTTTTATAATTAACGTCAACGAGTGTCAATTCAAGCGGATTTTTCAGGAAATCTTTCTTTTGTGCATTCTCTACGAGTTACTCGTGTCTATGAGTTATCTAAAAATTCAAGCGTATTTAAAAGGATGCAGATATTTCATCGTGTTTAAAGTAGGACTGTTCGTATAAGTAGGTCAGAGTGGGCTTAGACTAAACAAGACTAGAATTTCCTCCACAATCGCGATTTAACAGGTCAGACCAGGCACGGCAGGAATATTGTTATCTAGAAACAGGATCTCGCTAAAAAACCCACACCGAGATAGTCTAACAGACGTAAGAGTAGCGTTTTGAAGCAAGCAGAAAACAAATTCACTGCTTCAATATCCCGCATTCACTGCAGCATCATTTGCATTAGAAAGAACGAGACGCTAGACTAGAAGGCGACGCGTATTGAATATATAAATGCTCTCAAAAAGATTCAACCTATTGGAATCAGTCGGATGGTAAAAGGATCTCAAGATGGATCAACGATTTTGAATAGACTTTACAGCTTCGTGCACTCTCAGCGCGAGTCGGTAAATTCCGTTCTTTATACTCACTGCAGAGTGTATAACCAACCAATACACAAACTACAACGAAATACTGTGATACAATGAATCGCAGCTCTAACATCACATGCGTTTCCCTCTGCAGATCATAAGCACACAGCAGCAAGATCTGCTGCAACTGCGAAAACGCGTCGGCGCAGAGGTGCACAACGACGACGATGACGATGACGACGGTGACGACGACGCGTTCGAGGTGGAACCAGCGCGGTCGCCGACTCTCAGCGACAAGTACTCAGCGCATCACGACGACTCCGGCCTCGAGAACTCAGGCGAGGGCGAGCTGCTCAGCGCTCACAGCTCCCTCTCGCGAGAGACGACAAAGTCCGTCTCGTTTTACTTCGCCGGTGAAGCGTCGAGTGGTTCGGGGTCGGGCTCGCCGAGCGGTGGCGACAGCGGCGATAGCGCGACGGGCAGCTTGGAGCGATGTAGTCACAAGCTGTCGCCGGTCAGCGAGGTAGAGACCCCGACTGATGGCACGCCTCTTTGCCACGACGTCGCCGACGCCGACGCTGTCATCACCGAGAGCATAGAACGTTTGAAGCTCGGCTGCCGGGGGGACAAAGCAACTGCGGCGGTGGAAAAAACCGCGTGCTTGCCCATCGACCGAGTGTCTGTGGCGAAAAACGACTTACTACCTAAAAATGGCGGGCGGCGACCATTGATACACGCGCTCGCCAGTCAGGTCACCGACGACGACGCTGACGATACTTACATTGTCGCGAACTTCGAGCCTGGGGTGACGAGGAACAAAAGCGTGAAGACTGTGCGCGAGGTGAAGCATCGCAATAGGGACAAGATGCGGGCAAAGACTCTGCCGGCAGCCGACTTCCCTATTTACGCTACTGAAGGAATGGTGCACTACGTGTGAAAGGGAACTATCACTAGGTTCTTTTCTTCGAATTAATTTGATTATTTATGTGATTGCTGATCAGTGTTGCCAGCTGTCTCAGCCTCTCTCTTGTTATGACGCGCAAGCACTTAATATTTCTCTCTCCCTCTTTCTTGCTCCTTTTCGTGTTTTTATTTTATAACTGTCTATCTAACTTGTATATTCACATGTAGGGCTTTCATCATAGTAATCTGCGCGTGTTGCAGGTATTTTTGGCAGTCTATACATTCTTACCTTATTAACTTAATAAAAAACTAAACCTTAACGTGCAGACGCTAATGTAACCAGTCATCGTTCGGTTTTTGTTCATTTTAATAGTTATAATCGAAGATCTGATGCGCGTTCATAATCGATGAATTTCAATTGACGGCGTAACTGTCTTGTAAACAGTCATATTTCCTCACTGTAACTTTCTTTTCTATAGAGCCGGGCGCATATGGGCGAATAACACGCTCGATTGTGTTTCAAAACGCACAGCGAACGTAGGCAGATGAACACAACTGTTCGCGTGCGTCACTACGCGTCGCAGACGCGTTGTCTTTTCTAGCGCAGCCTTGTCTTTTCAGGAATCAAACAGGTTTGATGTTTCATGCACGAACGCCGACGCAAAGTTCGGTAGGCTCAGTCGAGACAAATCTGTCTGCGCTCGGACTACATACGTTTTTATAACGCAAGCGTAGGCGTTGACGCCCTTTTGCGCCCGGGTTCATATATACTGATCTACTGATCGAGCGTCCTAGCTAGCTTGCTACGCTAGCTATACCCCTGTGTAGCAGAGGATTGTGCTAACTCGTTCAGTTAAAAACGAAAACGAGAACGCTATTAGGGCAGTATAGTTGTACAAAACATATGAAATAATTTGCTGATGTATAAACGAATGTGTTTTTGTTGGAATATTGTATATAATGACGAGCAAGTGCGTTAACAATGTGATCAAGTAAATGAAAATATATTCATGCTTATATTATTTAACAAGAATTTCCATTTAAATGTTATTGCTTTATTCTGCGCGAAATTGTGGTAACGATGCAACTGTCGATAATAGTTTCCTCTTTTTAGTTTCCTCGTCTGTGAAAAAATAGCGGAATTGAATTATTCACGCATTGAGAAATTTTAAGAAATATTTCTTCTATGTAATCAGCAGCATATATATTTGTATATATATATGTCTACACGAACGGATGAATCGATGGACAGACGGAATGGTGTCCAAACAGAAAGGTGGACAGACTGACAGACTGTTAGACAGACAGGCCGACAGACAAACAGACAGACAGACAGACAGATTGACTGACAGACTGACTGACAGACTGACGGGCAGACAGACATACATACAGACAGACAGACAGACACACACACACACACACACACACACACAACAGACTGACAGACAGACACAACACACACACACAGAACTGAACAGTACAGACAGCCAGACTGAAAGGACTGACAGACAGACTTAGGCAGGCAGACAAAGCAGAATACGATACACACACCAGCACACACAAACCACATCGCACGCAACGGCACGCACCACGCACGCACAGAGAGAGAGACAAGACATACATCCATCACACGCGCGGCGCACGCACGCACGCACGCACCCGACACACGACACACACACAATACGATATAATATATATATACATATAACCTAGAATAGATAGATGCGAAACTAAGATAAACATTTGCCAAACGAAACTCCCCCCCCCACACACCCCACGCCTAGCGTCATCACTTTCTCTCTCTCTCTCTCTCTCTCTCGCTCGTCTGCCTCTCTCCAATCTTTCTTGCATCTCTCTCATCTCTTCTCTTCTCCCTCTGTCTGTCTCTCTACAACAAATTAGAGGGGGTCGGACGATAAACCGAATGGGCGCGCATGTCAAGTTAATCTGTTCAACGCGAAAAGTGTATAAATGTAAAAGCGAAGAGCGAGCGCCGATCAGGTGCACTGCTTCACACCCGTAGTCAAAGGTTCGTCGGACAGGTAAGGAGCTCTATCAAATAATAGCGTCAGTATCGTCATCGTCATCGTCGTTCCTCAGGGGGTGATTATACACGTGTTACAATATGTATATATATATATAGAGTAATAATCATAGAGAGCGAGAGAGGGTGAAAGGGGGAACGAAAAGATAGATATGTATATATAAATATATATATATATATGTGTGTGTGTGTGGTGTGTGTGTGTGTGTGTGTGTGTTGTGTGTGTGTGTGTTGTGTGTTGAGGTGTGTGTGTGTGTGTGTGTGTGTGTGTATGTTATTAATAATTATATATTTATATGTTTCTATTTACGTAGAATAAATGCGTTTCTGTTGCCGTCTTTCTTCAGCTTTTGGTGGCGACAACACCGTCGACATCAACAACTTCGCCAACATCGACGCCAGCGCCGTTGGTTTCGACAACTTTGGCAACCTCTACATCAACGTCGAGGCTTTTGACTTCAACAGATGGAGGAACACCGCCCAGGCCGCCACGCCTCGTGAGGCCCTGATCGCCGCCCAGACCGAGCAGATCGTCATCGGACGTAGATACCATAACGCGCAACTGGTGGCTTTCCAACTACTTGTGTTAATAATTTCTTGTCAAGAAATACCATAATATTGTAAACACGTACTATTATTTTTAGAAATATATGTGCGAAATAGCATTTAAAAGCTCATTGGGTTTGTTGTGTGTTTGAAGGAATTAAAGCTCTCTTGACACATATCTGATAAGTATGAACGCAGAAATCAGTGGCAGAGTAAATGAACGAAAGGAAACAGCAAAAGCAAAACGGCAATTCTGCCATCAACAGCAAATAAAAATAAAAGTCGAACAGTATTCGGGCATTACTCAGGTCCTTAAGTATTTTGTATTGACAATGTTACCGTAGGGCCATGAGACAGGCCATAACATTAGGGCGTCATACGTATTTAAACGGTTTGGTTATTTTTCAAGGTCACCATGTAGAGGACATATTGGTGACTGTTGTTGCTGCTGTTGTTGCTGCTACTATCGCCGATATTAATTGTTGCAATAATCATCGTCATCATCATTGTCTTTGTGGTTATTGTGATATTGTCACTGTTGTTGTAGTTGGTGCTGGTGCTGCTGCTGCTGCTGTTGTTGCAGTTGTTGTTGTCATCGTCGTCCTTGTCGCAATCGTTGTCGCCGTCGTTGTTGTCACAGCCGTTGTCGTCGTCGTTGTCGTCGTTGCTGTTGTCGTCATTGTCGTCGTCCCTATCGTTGTCGTTACTATTGGTATTATTATTATTATTATTATTATTATTATTATTATTATTACTATTGCCCTTAATTGTTATTCTGGATGGTAGTTAGTTGTTGCTATTTCTTTAAATTTCATTTCTAACCACCTTCTTATAAAACAGAAAGCAATAGTCAATATATATATATATATTCAGGAGCTAATAATACATTATTATATTTGCTATTATTAGCTAGGATATTATTAGCACCTGATGTAATGAATTTGCGTTATTTCATTCTTTGCAACCATGATTGTGCGTCCCATTATCTGTCCTGATTTTTAGAGGTTAAATTTTTCTAGTGTTTATATTGAGATTTAAATTTAACCGCCCCTTGCTACCCTCCTCCAAATCCGTCAACATTTGTGTCTGTTAGTAACTTTACTATGCACTCGTGACTACCGTTGTTTAGCTGTACGCATCACCTACTTTCACTAGACGCCAGAAACCAATGTCTGTATTTGGTTACTCGAGCGTTTTTGCGTGTTTGCGGAAAGTTTGTGAAAAGGCGAAAGAGAGAGGGGAAAGAGAGAGAGAGAGAGAGAGAGAGAGAGAAAGAGAGAGCGAGAGAGAGAAAGAGAGAGCGAGAGAGAGAAAGAACGAAAGAGAGAGGGGGAGGGAAAAAGAAAGAAAGAGAGGGGGTGGGGTGAGGAGAAAGAGAGGATAAGATCTCGTTATTCGTGTAGATACCATTACCGACACGATGCGTCTTCATATATTATACGAAACAACAATATTTTTAATGCAATTTCAAATATTTGTTACTACAAAAGTTAGTATCTACAGTATGATGGTCTCTCATGGTCACAATTGCTTAACACGAGTAGTTGAAAGTTCGTCAGTTGCTCGTAATACACACGGGCGTTCCCTTTCCCGGTTACAATCTTACTTGAAGGCCCCCAGAACAATTTCGGGATTTTGAGCCAAAATTTCTCAGAAAAGAGGTACTTTGTCCTAAGCCGAAAATAATATGGTGCCCTCGTTTATGTACGGTTCAGTCCGAGCTGTTTGCTCGTTGAAATACACGCCGCAGCTGCTGCACGGCGCTGTGGAGTACCGTGGATCAGCTACGAGAGTGTCGTTTAGGCATCCAGGTTTAAAAACGGCGGGCGCTGGCTGGCAGCTGACTGCGGGGTCCGGAGTGGACCGGCAGTGAATCCACGGCGACGGGAACAAAGCGGATCTCTCCGTTGTTGTTCCTCTCGAATACGTATCCGGCTCCCTGCTCGGTGCTGCCCTCTCCGCTAGCCTCCTGCGTGAACTGCTGGGTGGCGTCCTGGCTGGCGGTGCGGGTGGCAGACAGCTCGATGCCGGAGCTTCCGCTTCCGCTTCCCTCCCTGGAGGCGCCGCTGGTCTCCGTCTGACGCGCGTAGCCGTTACGGAATCTGCTTCCGACGACGATCTGCTCGGTCTGGGCGGGGTTCAGGGCCTCACGGGGAGCGGCGGCCTGGGCGGTGTTCCTCCATCCTTTTAAATCAAAAGCCTCGACGTTGATGTAGAGGTTGCCGAAGTTGTCGAAACCGAAGGTGCTGGCGTCGATGTTGGCGAAGTTGTTGATGTCGACGGTGTTGTCGCCACCAAAAGCTGAAGAAGGACGACAACAGAAACGCATTTATTTTAAGTAAATGCATATATACATGAATATGTATTCCAGACAGCATTCATACCGCCTTAATAACTTTAATGATCTCGTACTGTGAGGTCCGTTAAATAAATTAAGGAAAGACTCGCTAAGAAACACATTCGCTAACGAATTACAGTTACTTACTTGGCAGGTTGACAAATGATCCGCCACCACTCTTGACAGCGGAAGATCTGAAGCCACCGCTGCCAGTGCCGCCGCTACGGAAGCTGCTGCCGCTGCTGAAGCTGCTGCCACCACGTCCGATACCACCGGATCCACCAGTAGCACGGAAACCACCGGCACCACCAGCAGTACGAAAACTACCGGCACCACCAGCACCACCAGCAGCACGGAAACCACCGGCACCACCAGCACCACCAGCAGCACGGAAACCACCGGCACCACCAGCACCACCAGCAGCACCACCAGATGTCGTCGTCTTGGTGACGGTGACTCTTTGTCCTCCACTATGGGAAGCACCAAGTCCAGCGCCACCGCGACCTCCGCCTCCGTAGTTTCCGCCCTGGAGCCCAAGGATGCCTCCCTCTCCATGGGCTTCGCACAGAGCTTGGGCTACACAGCCCAGTAGGATTGTTGCTACCAACACCTTCATCCTGTAAGATCGGACGACCGTACTGTTACAGCTTAAGAGCAAAACGTCCGACATCTACTGTTACGTGTACAATGTATGTGCTATGTACATGTACATGTGCAGTTATTACACATAACTTTCTTCATACTGGATATAGTGGACATATACATCTGGTACTTTTAGTATATCATTTCCAGTTGCTTTACAGACCATATGAGCAATCTGCTTCTATCGACACGAAACATTAATGTGTGTGATATTAGAGCGGGATCTGTCAAACGATTAAACTCAAATCCTCGTTACGTTACGTTCTTACGGTTACTGTTCATTTCTCCTATATACATCTTCAATAGCACGCATATAGTAGGTCGCGCATTACGATAGATAGAAACAAAACGACGTCTTACCTTGATTATTTGACAGGCTCCTGTCTGACGAACCTTTGACTACGGGTGTGAACCAGTTGTGCACTGAATCATCGCTCGCTCTTCGCTTTTATCCTACTCCGCGCAGTCAGTGGCCTGATTCCCGAAAGCACATATTGAGAAATCTAAAATACAAGGACGCGTGCATACATTACCTTACTGTGGCGTAGACAGGTTCTCAGTTGTGGGGGAGATGATTTCGCTGTTAATTCTATCGCAATGTATAATATGAAGAGTGTGCGCGAATAGCGCCCACCGCGAGCGCCTTGGCGCAAAGCCCTAAATGGGCGGGGTCTAGGGGCTCGCCCTAGGGTCCCTGGCAGGGTGCAGGGGCAGAGCCCTTGCCCGGGGTCCAAGGGGCTGAAAAACTCAAGTCAATCATGCTTTCTGATTAAGAACACTAAAACATCTTGTTTATGTGCCGTTGTTCTTTAAATATTTATTAAAAAATGGCGCCACTGTATGAGCTGACCTTGATTCTCAGAACGATGCAAAGAGTAAGCACATAAATAATAGTCACTAGGATTTTGCCGTGTCAAACTGTGTAGGCCTAGGCTAGTGTGTCAGTATTAGTGTATAGTCTATGCTGTGCAGTACTGACTACTGTCACTGTCAGTACTGACACTACCTGACTACTGAAAGTGAAAGTGACAGTAGCCTACCGTAAATACGGGGCCTGCGTACTGTCAGACAGAGATAATGATTAGGGTTAGAATAGGATTATGGTTTGGGATACCTGGCATACGTATTAGGGTTAGGGTTCCAGAAAATTCAATTAATGTGTCACATATGATTACATAGTATTACTAAGTATTAGTATTTACTATTAGTGTTAGTATTACCTAGATTATACAATATTATAATGTAACCCAACAAGAGTAGGGTTACATTACTCTTGTTGGGTTACATTATTGTATCTAGTATTACCGAACAATGATTCGTCCCTAATCTGTGACTGTGTTCGTAGCCTAATACGGCGGCGGCGCTGAAGCGAACTGCAATGGCTGTTATCGATCGCGGAGGCGTCGTATCCAAGATAGAGAACCTTGGCATGTGCACGTTGCCATACAAGATGCGTCGCCATGGCGTCACTCACACACAGGGAAGGTGAGCAGAGCTGTTACCATGACACGAACCCTGGTCAAGCCAAGTGTGTGTGTTGGAGCGAGTGTGGTGTGCGGTGTGGGTGTGCGCGAATGCGGATATAGTTGGCTGTTGTGCCAAACCTGAGGACATGCTGATGCAGGAATCCCGATTTATCGTGATTGTGTAGTTATATATGAAATAAATCATTTCAATCTGTTTGAAAATCTGAAGTGTGTTTAATCAGCACAGCCCAGCTGAGGCCGTGCACTATCGAGAATTTAAATGTATTTGCTCACGGATGAAGGGCTTATCCTATACACACACACATGCATGTGTGCGCGCATATGCATGGGTAGCAGTTTAGCAGATATCCATACTCCCACATGCGAGTATTCTGTATTAAATATGAAGTATGTATATATATATTTATGTTAAGTATTCTGTAATTTAATCTTTCAGCTACTTTCTGATGAGATACTTTAGTCCGCCGACGATCACAGCAGAGCTCATGGAACACATCGGCCGCGACGTCGACATTGTGAAGCGCGGCATCCACGCCACCGAAGACAAACCAGAGGTGGCGCCACCGTGCACGCTCGAGGAGGAGACGAAACCGGCTGCCTACAGGAAGGACCTCCTGTCCAGCTTCAGGAAGTGAGCGATCTGTTCGGGGATCGATCTCCCGGATGTGGAGCTGATAATGGCGAACAATGCGGCGGGATGCAAAACGGACAACGTGTGATAGCGGTCGTAATCTGGGCAGTTTGCGGCGTCATCTCTGGCACTATCTAGTGACTTCACAGCTGGCCATAGAATATCCATAGTAGTGTAATGGATTCCCAACTGGCCGCAGAATGTCCATTCTGTAGAGAATTCACAGCTGGCTGCATTCACAGTCAATACCATACATAAGCAGCATATTTGATAGTAAACATGTCCAAAAATACACAGGTGTTTTGAAATGCAAACTTAGCTTATGGTTGGTTTAGTTTGGAAATAAATCCCTATGTTAGGTAACACAACTGTTTTGACAACCAACCTGTTGTATTGTTCTAGTGACAACAACTGTTTTCGAGCTACTGTCAAAACAACTTGAAAAAGATAATGGAGCAATTGCCACAAAAGTTTGCATTCGTCAATGTGTGGATCCGTTACAAAATTGAAGTAATTATCATCTGAACCATTATCTTTGGGATGTCATAGCATGCCTAACAGAAATATGTGGTTTTGGCAATTTTTGGGATCACTTTTCTCACGATTGTCATGTCGGGGTAAACTAATGTAAGAGTTCACCCCTGAGTTAGACACGATGGAATAATGTTGCTGGTAGGGTGTAGATAATAAAGGTATGTGGATGTGAATTTGTGCATGTACATAAAAGCATTGTTAATTAAATAATGAAAGATTAGTTCTTACAAAAGTTGTGTTTTGGGTTTGTATAAAAGCTTCCTGTAAAATTAAAACTGCCTGTATGACAGCGATACACAGGGGAGAAGATCGCGAGGCACGTATGAGAATTAATTTGAGAAAACCTGGTTCAGTTGCCACCATGCATCATTTCAACAAAACAACTCACTTGGTTTCACGATATATTTCTGATCTTTCAACATAATAAAGAAGTTATTTTTGTACAGTAGTATTTAAAAGCAAATCAAACTGATAGGTTCGAAGATTTCTAGTTTTCTAAAACTTGTATAATTTGCTGGGCTATGTTTTTGACCTAGCTGCCTCCTTGCAGAATGGTGTCACATACTGGCAGGAGCACATTAATTAGAGGTCTTTAATTCATGTATTCCTGCTAATGATGCCTAAGCTGATTTCATATCCTTGCCAATATTTGTACTAATACCAATTCCTACACCGAAATCTAATAGATGAAGTCTGCAGTGACAAAGAATTGTTTCCCGTGACACAAATGTGTAATTTAGAATTACGTGTATGCTTTTAACACATTTTGTTATCTAGTTTTATACACTTGAACTTCATAACGCAAATATTGGCCATTACCTGTTGGCATTTATATTTATATATATTGGGGGAGGTTGGAGGGGGTGTCTCCTTCCCACTGTGTGGAATTGTTAAAAAGTTGCAATCTAAAAGCAATCAATTTTGGACATATTTATCATAGAATATCAGGATTTTTCCTCCTTTAGGGCGTGTCCCCCTCCTGTTTAGGGGGAGGGGGTCCGGGGATTTTGTTGAAAGTAACACCCCTTCGATGCAATTTCCTGCACTATGAGGCAGTACTATTAAACAATCTTCATCACAATAACATCACTGTTGAGTTGAGTATTTTTACCTTTGGGGAACCAAAGACTAAAATACTTACTACCAAATCTGTGCTATGTACATGCCCTCACTGGGGTTACCAGTGCACACTTACCTAGGCCAAAATACCTTTGCCGTGAAATTTCTAGTGGGGCGACCGCCTCGTGCTACCGACCCCCCGTTAACAACTACAGCACTGGAATCATCTCCTCCTGAAATTGTGATAAAACGTATATTTTACTAAGAACGTTAAAACTGCCAAAAAATATGAGAAAAACAATCATATTTGAACCAAAACGTGCATATTTTTACCCCTTATACAAAATCGGGAATATACTTCCGGTCGGGTCTCAGCACCCCCCCCCCCAAAGTAAGATGAAATTTCCCATTCAATCCCCGTGAAAATCAATATCGCAACTCTCAATAGGTCTATTTTAATTTTGAATAAAGCAAGGATTTAACTTTCGTGAGCAGTGATAAAACTTTGGAAATTTTGAGAAAAAAAATCGTATAATATGGTTCCAAAATTAACCGTCTGAGTTTCAGTAAAATAATGTCATTCTTGGAACGAGTTACAGCCATTTTATAGTAGATGTATGTCACGTTCCATTTCTGTAATAATATATTAGGAGAGTATGAATAGCGATGATGGATTTGTAGATAAATATCCAGTATTTATTGTCTGTAAAATATTTTTTCCCATTTTCTTTCTGAAAGTAGGGGGAATGAAAGCCACCCCACCTCAATAAGTGTGGGGAGGATATAGCCCCATCCCCCCGCTGTCTACGCCCCTGTCAGATGAACTCAAATTTGACTTTTGATATGCATACAAATATTCATAATCATAATCTTTGTTAGCAGTACTCTACATTAGCAGGACACCTGCCGTTGCCCGGGAAATCAAGCGCTCAGTTGGTGACCACTTGGTTGAAAGAAAATTACCAATAACAATTACAATTATTTAATTAACAATAAAATTTCATATAATTATATATATATAACTTGGCCGTTCATGGATAGCCTATAGTCATGAATATATGGACATGTGATGTATGTACGTTCACAGGTTCGTGCTTTATTACACTTTAACACACAATATTTCTCTGACCATCAAGAGTTTCTGATGTAATACGTAGGCTAATTCAGACCAAATTTTAAGTTTCAAGCTCTACAGCTGATTGTCCCTTGGTTGCATTTCGTGTGAAAGATAAATCTAGAGTAGAAAAAGAAACGATTCAAAAATCAAAATATTACGGAAATCCTATATTGCGTGTAATCTACATTACATACTGCTATATACACTAAATACAACTGGGAAAACACGTGCCACAATGTCTAGCTATAGTTCTATTTTGAGATTTGGGAGTTAGCTACAGAGACGTAATATAGATATGAAGCCATTTCTACGATCTACTCAAGTTCTCCAAGTCTATTTGCGCAAAAGAACGCTTCAGTAACCAAACGAATAGCACGTTCATGAATTAAAACTGGTCCCCTATCCTATAACATTTCGTAGGAAAAGTAAGGTAAGGGATACTCATCACCTCACGGTACGTGTGTGTCGCGCACATAGACATGTACAGTGTATAGAGATCTATATTATCTACCGATTGTTTCTATGCTCGCGCACATGGTAGAAGCTACTAACGGGAACTGAACACCTGAGCTACTGCGCACGGACGCTGTATAAAGGCGAATTCTGTAGAAATGCGATACTACCATTCATTTATGCAACACCTTTTATGCACCACCCTTCATTCATGCACCACCCTTCATTCATGCAGCATATTTCATTCGTGTACTCCTGAATCCTGATACTGCCAGTGCGGTATGAGGCATCGTAGTAAAGTGTGTCGTTGCGCCAATTTAGAGCGGGAAGGCGCGTTGAGCGGCGAGTGTGAGGAATGCGTTTCAGCCGAATTTCCTCACCAAGTGTCGTAACGGTCATATCGAGAAGGCGCGACCGTAACGATGCAGCCTTTGCGTGTGTCTTTTTTCCTGTACAAACTGATGCAATAGTACAAGAAGTAATGCTTAATTATACCTGATAAGATGGCACGCCGTGCTTGTGTCTGTTTGAGCGCGTCTTTGCGCGCGCGTGCAAGTGCTTGGGTGCATGGGTGCATGCGCACGTCCTTAACAGCGCCAATGAAAGATGTTCGTGCATGCATAGATATATGCAAACACGTGTTTGTATAATCTATGGTAAATGTAACCAACCATCGTCTCTATGTTATGTGAAGCGGCGAAATACAGAGAAAGTAGCGCGAATCAACGTTTTTTCAGCCCGACGTTTGCAATGAATTATAGGAAGCGCGACCCACGAAATTATGCAGCGTAACGACTTCAGGAGTGAATAAAAGCACGTCCTTTTATTTACTCCTGATAAATTGCATATCTTGTATAATAGAATACGTATATATACAATACGATGTGCACCTAGATAGGTAAAATATGCATAATTCGTGCAACATGTGCTCATTGGGATAGGATATATAGGTGCCAGAGGTTGTTACACACGTTCTGGCCCTGTCAAAACCGTTCAAGAACTCCGCACCAATTATTTCCTAATCCGTGAAGCGGTCAAAACTTTTACCAATTGTTGGATTCGTCTCTGTCTTATTAGTCTTAGCTGTCTTAGCTCGATTTAGGTTAAGCGGGGAATCGCGTGCCTGCATGCACGTGGCTCCCGTAATAGCTCTTCTATCTCCGAGAACATGAGAACTGAGAACAATATAATAATTTACACATTGTCAGTACAGATTGTACAGATTGTCGTAATTTTAAGATCTATATTTTACAGTGTCACAGTCCGTTGTTTTATAATCAGCCTTTGTAATGCGCACGTGAACATATTTGCATTTATAACTTGCGCAGTATCTGGATCTGGATCTGGATATTTTTACTGCGTTACATGGTTAGGTGGATAATAACGCAGGGCTATATGGGGTGCGGGGTGTGACCTAGCTTGGGTAAAGCTAGGTAGATTAGCCTTTAGCCGAAAGGCACTGAGGGTGGTCACAGCCAGAGTACTTTTGCGCCCTCAGTCGTTCTTTTACGACCCCATTGGCCTTAGTATTACTGGAGACGGGACCGCCATTTTACGTGGTCATCCGAGCCACGAGAGATTCACAGTCTCCAATGTTGAAAGCCAAGTTTTTACACCTTGAGAAAATTCACTGCCCCGCCTAGTATAAATCAATAAATATGATTATATATATATCAGACACATTTCTCAGATCCAGCACCAAACTGCATGCAGTGCCCCTTCGTTCACTCAGGATACCCACACTCAGGATACCGATACCACAGAAATAGAATAGAAGATAGAAAATAGAACTTCTATTCTATTTCTGTGACCGATACCAGAGCCGATACTCAGGATAGATTGAGCCCCAATCGGAAAACCCATTCGACTCTTGCCGTCATGCCTAGAAAAGAGTTGCCGCTATTCTGTTGAATGGTCCGAGGGTGCCCGATTGGATTGAGCCCATGAGCGAGAGCGCCATCTGTCGTGGAGTTTGATCCAGCACTCGGCATACTTCGTCGAGCACAATGCACTCTGGGAAATTTAAAACAGTTTGGATTTTATTAGCGATTCTTGGGATGTTCAGCGGTGTCGGGTGTGTGATTAACGCGTCCCTTGCGACCCGAGAGTGACAACCTATGGTGACAACAACCATAGGACAACAACACTCAACACAACAGATACATTCCTGGATGTAAATAATTAAACTGAAATTAGTTAAATCATTTATTGAATGCCGAAATTAATTTTTAGCTCAACTGAACACCTAGTGTGTGCAGGTATCAGATTCTGACACGCACGCGCGCACGACGGACGCACGCACACAAACACGTACATATCCCCCCACACGGCACCCACCCCCCACAAACACACACACATCCCCCCACGCACACACACACACACACACTCACATCCCCTCCCACACACAGTGTCACAAACACACACATACCCCCTCACGCGCGCGCACACACAGTGACACACACACACACGCACGCACACACACACACACACACACACACACACACACACACACACACACACACACACATATATATATATATACACACACAGACACAGTCACACCACAGGCCTGGAGGCCTCAAGTTTCAAAGAGTATAAGATTTCGCGTCGCTCCCGCCGCTTCGTCTGTATATAATAGGCTTATAGCTTTTGAAAACTTGGCCTCCAGCGGCTCGTGTTCACACAACACACACACATACACACACACACGCACACACGCGCACACACATACACACACTCTTGTCTGTGTTTATTACTAGTATAGGGCTTTTAATACTGTTTATTGCGCATTGTATCAATTATGCATCACAGACAATAAGTAAAGCGATAATAGGCCCATCGATTATGCAATTTTAACGGAATGCGTAGAGTAACTGGCCACCGTGTAGTTGAATAAGTACATTACCTATATGCCAAACGCGTCATTAGGTGTGTCCAATATGCTGCCGCTGGTACTAAGGAAATGTCGGTATTGAAATCGCAGTCCACGAATCAGTTGACTTGACTTGTTGACAGTTTCGAAAACCGCATACTTCGAAGACGACGTGCGCTGATACACGATTATATAGGTCCAACCGGACAATTTCGCGACGCATGCAAAAAGCGCACGCACGCCATGCATGCTTTCGCTCGCCGTACGCAACGCTAGCGATAGCAACCGAACGAGTAGCGCTGATATGTAATGAACGTGGAATCTACGTACGAATCACAGACGCTCGTGATAATGAAGTATAGGCTGTGTTGGGGGCCAACGCTATGGGAGGATCGCGGACTAACCACGGCCACAGACTAAACATGGAAAGCAGACGGCACTACGCGTATTTACGTATATTGGTCAAACGAATACACCTGTGTCTGAAATTGAAGACATGTGGGTACCCGTTCATTTGCACCCACGATTATTTACTTGTGCCTCAATACCCAGAATACACCCAGAGATACATTCTACTAGCTCATTAGTGGTATATAAGCATCCCGGGACAAACAATTCTCTGCTAAACACCCGTAGCAACATGTGACGTTGCCTAACCGAATTCGAGGCTATTTTGCTTGGCAACCAATTTAGCGTTGGCGCCAGATGACCAGATTTACAGATTTCAGTTAGACATTTCTTAGTAATTAGCAGTGATATTGGACAAACTAATACGCGTTTGACTATAAGGTAATGCACTTATTAACTACAGAAGGTGCCAGTTACTGTAGCATTCGTCAACTTTGTATAATCAAGGTGCCTATTATGCCTTTAATTAATTCAAAAGTATCATATGGTTGGCCGATCTTGTTTCTGCATGATCTAGACTCTTACTCTTCGTCTTATCTACCTAGTGATACTAAGAAAAATACATGACAACATTAGATTTTTTATCATTAATATATTATATATTATATTAATAATAATATCTGATGTTTTGGTAGATACAGGTTAGCTGGTTACAATTGCCCACTTAGGCTCAAGGGGTCGTTGTCGTATCAGGTACTACAGATATTTACCCGAGGTACATACATGTATACACAAAGTGCAGGCCTACCAGACTTGTATTACAGAAGTGTACCCTAACCCTAACACTAACCCTAACCCTAACCCTAACACTAACCCTAACCCTAACCCTAACCCTAACCCTAACCCTAACACTAACCCTAACCCTAACCCTAACACTAACCCTAAACATATACCTCATATAAAAATATAAACATAATACTAAACAACCTAAAACTACTTCGGGTACATATCTGTAGTACCTGATACGACAACGACCCCATCTGCCCCACTTAGCTATGACATCAGCGATGTGCAGTCCTAGCTGCCAAGTCATCTACCTGGCTGGCCAGGAATAACCCAGAGATGGAGGTAGATCAGTATTTGGATTTGGCTACCCGTGTAGCAGAGAAAGGCATGGCAATGGAGCATTCACCACTGCAGCAAGCTACTATTGAAAGCATCACAGAGTTGGTTGTGAAAGCATTAGAAGTTGCGAAATTAACGGAAAAGTGAGTGGTTACCATAATATATATATATATATATATATATTTAGTGCCTATTGAGTATTGACTTAATTATTACTTAGTATTATACTGGATGTTTCCCCTTTATTTGTGTCTAATGGTAATAGACTATGTGAGTATCAATCAAATATTTATTTAACAATAAGCATAACATATAAAATCGTTATACTTGCCTCGGGTATGTAACAGTATAGTAGATGGACTAAATATATATGTGATTATTAACCTGCTTCAGCCATAACTGCATCCAGCAAGATTAAGCAATATCCTGCTGCAAGTCCAGTAGAGATGAGTCTATTTTTAGGCTGCAATATTACACAGACACCCCTTTTATATGCTCCACAGTTATGCAGACCATATATATGATGCATCCTTAGTATTCTGGAAGCTGACTGAGCCTTGGATACGAAATGGGGCACTAGGCTACCTTGGTACTGGTCTTTCTGCTATCACTGAAGCACTGTGTAACACAGAGCATCCTGACCACACGTGGTTAGCCCAGCTACTTACGTGAGTACTAAGCAGGTGAAACCTGTCACACAACTTACGCTGAGATGGTCTATGTCCCCCCAGGGTACTGCCGGAACGTACCCTTGGTACGGTCCGGTATACCGGAACGTACTCTGGTACTATCTAATATGCTGGACCGTACCTCGCCTACTCTACTAACGAGTCTAGGGCCCTAACCCTAACCCTAACCATATCAAATAGTTACCAGGGTACGTTCCGGTATACCGGACCGTACCCAGGGTACGTTCCGGCAGTACCCTGGGGGACATAGACTCTATGCTTACATTTAGCATGTACCCAAATTGAATCTGTTATGTGATCAAGTAAGTGAAAATTGATCTGTTATGCACAAAATATAATAGAGATTTTGATGAGTTTTTAGATCAATTGGGAAATGTAGCTTGACCATGCTCATTTCTGTAGACTGCTAGTTGAAGCACACATTGAAAATGGAGACTTATGCAAGGCGTCGTCTGGTGCAGCAGAGGCTCTACGTGTGGCCTTGCAGTACGAGGAGTGGGAATGTGCTCAGAGGATAACGCAACTACAGGTAACATTTGCAGATATAGAGAGGTTGGGAAAATTAGATCAAATTCTTTAGCAAGTGGACTAAAACACAATATTTGTTAACTGTTATCAATTTAAATGTAATGATTTCATTTAGTTATGCACTGCTAGACGTGATGCGGCCATGATGCCGAGGCGAGCCGAGGATTGACACTTTGTGTCCGCTAATCACAGCCTACGCCGCACCTCCCTTTGAAATTTTTATAAGTGGGGACCCATCACTATACCAAATCGCCGATCTCAGGAACTAGGGCATAGGCTAGAACGGTTAGCACTCTGCTAGGCTAGAACGGTTTCCTACGATAGAGTTTGGCACAAAAACGAAAATAACACGCCGTTTAGCGCACTGCGCTACGTACTTCTGTTGCATTTTCACATCTCCGTAATCAGAATAAGCCTTGCCTTCTTCATTGATGGGCATGAATGGGGCGTCACCGACGTGACCAGTTCTTATACCGACTGTGTTTACTTTTAGTAAATAATGAAATGCCCGGCCGATGCTAGACTGGTACCCGTTTGCCACCTTCACTCCGGCAAGTATCCTTCGCTACACTGACACTGTTAGTGTAGCGTGTGGAATTGTTGACCGGGTACCAGTCTAGGTCGATGCCAAACTGCATGCAGTGCACTTTCGTACACTCAGGATACTCGTAGATTGAGCCCATGAGCGAGAGCGCCATCTTTCGTAGAGTTTGGGCCAATGCGATGCATTTTCTGCGTTTTCTGCGTGATTATTATTTTGCGCAGGCACTCATTTTCGAAATCCTCCAACATTTTTACTTCTTCCATTAAGTCCATGTTTTACTGTTATTTAGGAAGGAAGGTAAAACTGTGCATTCGTATAATTTCACTCTTGCTTCTATAGTATGATTTCCATAATTTTGCTCTTCTGCCCATGATAATATTTCCCTCATCGTGAACCTACATTTTTCAGTTCGGACTCTTATCATATCGTTATAACCTCCTATATCATTAATTAAATCCCCTAGGTATGAATATTTGGTGCATTTTTTTATTACTTGGTTTTCTATTAATATCTCCTTCTCTATCCTTTCTTTGTTGGTGAATTTTATAACCATTGTATTTGTTTTGTTCATATTAAATTCTAATCTTTTTGATTCAGCTAATCTGGAGCATGACTGAGCGATTTTTGTTACTGTTTTATAATCTCCAATTCCTAGAATATCGTCCATATATAATCATTGTCATCTTCTAAAACTACAGACCATCCGCTGACCGCTGTGGAGACGTGCGCCAGGCCTCGAATTTGGCACACGTCTCCACTGCGGACAGCGCTTCATACTTGAACATCCCCGCTGTCGCGTGCGCATATCCCGCGGAACTGCGCGTCTCATCCGCACGCAGCGCTTAGGATCAACAGCAAAGCTGTGCCACGCAATCTTGTATCATGTCTCTCTGGACAAATGCAAGTACAAGCACAAAGGTTAGGTAGGCTCTTTAAAGCCTAGCTCTAGTTACTGTAGTCTTTTCTAAACCATGGTGAAGCAAACTCAATAGTAGCTAGAGCTATTTAAAGCGTTCGATCTGTTTTCACAAGAATTTTAAATATTTATCATAGGGAAGATGGAATCTAATGAATGATGAATTTTGGAGTCACATTGCTTCACAGCCCCACCTGGTGGTGCAATTAGAACTTCATCAACTAGGAAGGTATGCTGACTTGCAATTATAATAATTAACATTAGGCCAACTTCATAACTTTTAATGATTTCACAGGCATTTTAGTATCGTTAATATTGCAACACGCTCATTGATGACAGGCATGTTTCATTCCATAGAAAAATTTAACTGTTTTTAAAAAGCTGATTTTAAACATGCAAAGAAAATGATATATTTCCAGGCATCTTAGTTCTCCTCGCAATATTCTGAAAAAGAAGAGTGAAGATGGGCTGCTTGGGCTGTACAAAAGAATTTTATCAGTGAATAGTAAAGCTTTGGCGACAGACCCTGACAATCCCAAACAGGAATCCAATATGCCTGAGCCTCTCTCAGATGACATAAAGCTATCAGCGACGGACAGGTAGGGAGAGGGGAGAGTTATGATATAGAGATGTTTTTGTAACTTCAAGTGGACATTATGTGATCCTCGTAACATGGATTGAATTTACCCGTGGTCACATATAATACTATTTAGTATTAGTACATGTAGTATGGCTCATAGGGTCTATGTCCCCCAGGGTACTGCCGGAACGTACCCTGGGTACAGTCCGGTATACCGGAACCTACCTTGGTTATAACTATCTGATATGGTTAGAGTTAGGGTTAGTGAGTAGGCGTAGGCGACTCCCTAGACTCGTTAGTGGAGTAGGCGAGGTACGGTCCGGCATATGAGATAGTACCAGGGTACGTTCCTGCAGTACCCGGGGGGACATAGACCCTCTCAGCATTAGTATGCTGTCACTTAAGATGTGTAGAAATTGAAAGAAATTGTGTGCGATTGTGCGATTGTGCGAAAGAAAAAAATATGTGGCGATATTGAAAGAAGCTCTGGCTGATGTGTTTGCTGTGGTGTTGATTGTAGTGTGTATCATGGCTAGGGTCCTACTCTATATAGGTTTTCAATCATGGTAAATTTGAAGCAAAAACATTTGTGACAAACAATGATTTGTTTAGCATATTTTGTACACATCCTCAGTTATTTTCTCTTATGTTACAGATTATCCTTGCTCACAGAGCTTGCATGGCTGTGTGTTGACTATGATAACATAACACTTGCCACCAAATGCTCTGAACAGATGTGTAGCATCACTGAAATGGTGAGCATATCTTGTTTGCATACATGTAACATACAAATTAACATGTAGAAATGCAGTATTGAGTCATCCATGCTTTAAATGTAAAAAACTGCCTTAATAAAAGCCGGTAATAAAAGATAACACGGCTAATGTTGATAGTGCAATAATGTTTTAGTGCACTGAACAAATATTAAAAGTTGTTAGGAATTTATATATCACATTCAAATGTCTAAAAATATATTGTGGAGCTGTCAATTTTATGATTTATAATATTTTATCGTTTTATTCTTCAGAATAGAAGTCAGAAAATAGAACACCTATTTTTGCGATGTCAGATCCTATTGAAAACGAATAGTCAAACATCCACACAGATCTCTTCAGAATATCACTTACAGATGGCACAAAAATGTGAAACTGGCCTATCTAAAGCTTTAAAAATAGGTATGTTTGAGGAAAACGAGCTCTCAGTAAGTAACTGTCACAATGTGCTGCTTAGATGTATAACTGCAAGTGCCACTTTGTACGGCATTATAGCCATATTTATTAAGTTTTCTGTGGTGCATGCATTTCCACAGGGCTTGGTTTGTTATTGCATGCTTTGTGTATTATGCAGGTGACAGGCGATTGATTGAGAAGGGAGTAGCCACACTGTGGAATGCCACACTGCCACTGATGCAACAAGGACCTAAATCGACCGTACGCCGGTGGCTCCAGAGTGCCTTGGATGCATTAGATCAAGTTCACAGGTGCTATGATTAGCTGCACTGCCGGTTTGATAATGAAGTGGTGTAGTGCAATGACACAGTAATTCAGGTTTCATGTCTGGATAAGCATTACCTCGGACGGAGTGTCTAGTTATTTTGGTTTGAATGTGAATTAAAAATGACCATCAGGCTCATATCCCACTGTTTCTTTAAATTTTGCATGGTGACTCTAAAGTCATAATTTAATTTACCCTCAAAACAGTTGATTCTATGTGGCACATTTTGCGACTACATTGTCATTTTCAAAGATGCTTACGGCATCTTTATAACTGTAATGCATATTACAGCTGTTTGAGTGAGGTCCGTCTAGGGGTACTCTTGCAACTAGCACATATTGAAGCAGAACAGGGAGACCTAAGGCAGGCCATACAGCATCTGATAGTGGCCCAAGGTGAGTGCAACCTTTACTGAATAAGTATTAGAATGTACATCGGTTATCTACTGTCATGTACAGTCTTAATTATATTCACTAGATTGGAATTCAGCGATTTTTAGAGAAGACTGGATTTTTTTTAGGAATTGTATGAGTTGTGCCATGATGAGGTGCTCTCCCTGTTGTAGATATAGATCATAGTGGGAAGCACAGTGCTTACATTACACAGACCTTGTATCAGCTGCGTCTCACTGTAAATCCATATCAGGAGTTGGACAATGAAGAGGACAAAGCGACCTTGATTATGACACAGGTAAGAGATTTGTACCATGTGCTCCTTTCACCCTTTTTGCGAGTCAGAAGAATGATTTCAACGAGGAATGTTCTGTATGGTTCACGCCTTAGGTGCGGCTTCAGCTTGGTAACACGGATCCTAAAGTCATCCAGTCTACACTGCTTAGTGCGGGTCAAGTGCTTGCTAGAGGCAAGTTCCTAGAGATGGTTGACTACAATTGTACTGACAGCAAGGAGCTAGCCGCTGACAGATACAAGAACGCTCGTTTGGCCATTGAGGAGATGGGAAGACCCATGCCTCAAGCAGACTCGCATTACAGGTAATCTCGGCTGCCTGTTAAATTCTGACACGGAGTTTAGTGTGTTAGATAAATCAGCTACATTGTACGTATGTTTGTGTGTGTGTGTCACAGACAAAGCATGTGGCTAGAACTAGCTGAGCTAGCCGCTATGCACGCAGCATGGGATGTAGCTAGGGCAGCGGCAAGGATCTGCAAGCTACAGTACAGCAGTACAGGAACATGCTCCTCTCCTGTGATGTCCACCGAACCACCGACTGCAACTGGGTCTGCACATGGCGCGCTGTCAGAGCAAACTGATAACCCAGCTGGAGAGGCAGAGAAACTGCCTGAGGGCGAACTTGAGCCGATATCGTCCGAGTTACTAGAGGTGGATAGGTGGATGGCTAGAGCTGGCCTTATTCTAGCTGAGGTAAGCCAGAAGCGATGTTGTTGCATGATGATGAGCAGATCCAGTGTTGTGCTGGTGTGGCCTTAGAAATGGAAAATTCTATAGTCCCATGGTCTTCTTTCTACACGCTGGCACTATTAGTTACAATAATACTTTTATATAGACGAGGAATCATCGGAATTTACATTCAGCTTCATGATGTTTTGTTAATACACAGGGCCTCATGCACTTGCTGAACATTTGCGATGCTACTAAGGTAGAAGAAGAATCGGATGTGGACGAGAAAGTGCTAGCTGTGGAAGAAGGTGAAGGGAAACTAGTAGCTGGGAAGGAGGAGAAGCTCACAACTCATTCTCAGAATATTGCTGCAGAGGTGTACAGCTCTCTGCATAGTGCTATGGTGATGGCTAATAGAGCAAAGATGCCAGAGTTGGTCTACAGGTAAGACTTCGTTCATTTGTAGCCGAGGCTTAGATGCGAAACGGTGCTAAAGGAATTACTTGACTTGTCTTATTACTCAAGCTCATACTGTATTTAACAAGGCTGTATTGCATAGGATAAGCTTCATGATGGCTAATATAGTGTCGGTAACACCGACTATGTGTGCAGAGTTGTGGCGAGCATGTGGAACTTCAGTCAGCGACTAGTTGTGGATGGCCAAGAGCACAAGCTGGTCTCACACTTTCTCCCGGCCCTGGAGATCCTACAAGGTTCGTCATGTGCTAGGTAAGCATATACGAAACGAGTGGTTTCTATCCCGCAAGCCGAGTGAGAAGTTGTACTAACACACAATGCTTGTTTTGAAGGCACGACGGCCCGCGTTAGATGATGTGCCCCGTGTGAACGAATGTTGTTCTGCACCCGTAGGTCATGTGAGCTCGTCACCATGCTGACGGCAGTGGCTGCGAGGGGCCTTATTAAGCCGTGGCTCACGAGGAAGGCAGTAGAACAGCCAGTGTCACCCGTTACTCCAGCCTTGGGTAAGAAGGGGAAATCGGCCAAGGGCAAGGGAACGGAGGGCCCCGTCATCAGTACCGAGGAAGCGAATGACTACAAGCAAGCGTTGACGGTAAGAGTTGGATATGGATGGAGACTTGGTCTCACAGCCTGCATGTGTCCCTGTGCGTGATGCGTCGCCTGTGTCATTGTCTGTGTCATAGCTGGGCATCCTGTTACCTGCAGCTGACAGAACGTGCCAAAGATGTGGTGGTTGCTAGCTGCAGACAGGAGGGAGTGCTTGTGTCATTGAGCGTATACCAGAACCTACTGGATGAGTGGGTCCATTGCAAACATCTCACACGACAGTCCATTGGAAAAGATTATGGAACAGCTAACATGGTGAGTGTATACACTAAGGTAATGGTCAGTGTCAATGCCAGAATATTCCATTTTTATCAAAATTTGATAAGGGCCATTCAAGCCATTTCTAATTTAATTGGTTGTCATGTGACTGCTCCGCGTGTAAACAATGTAATTGTAAACAATTTAAGTCTTTTTTATATAACGAAAACCATAATGTTTTCACATCGAGCATCTAAAATTCCAATTGGTTCATGATGATGGTCCAATTTCTGACGAAATCGTTTCGTCGATTGTATGCTGCTTTCCCTCTTGGCTGCATCTGTTTGGAGTAGGAGGATAAGGATGTGGCTGCACTAGCGAGCTTCACCTGTGCTTTAGTAGCTCACAGCATGCTGCGTCATCGTAGTGACGCTGCTTCACTCATCACAGTCAAGGAGGTCGTGTTGTATGCAGAGGCCTGCAGCTGGAGGGAAAGAGATGGTGATGTAGAACTGCGTTTGTGGACAGACTTGGGCAGGATGGCTTTACTGGATGGGGAACGTTGCATTGCTGAAAAGTGCTGCCGCTTGGCAGTAGCTGTAGACCATTATAAAAGGTATCATCATTTGTCCCAAAATAATCATATCGACTAGAGAAATCGTGTGAATTAACGGCAACTAATTTGACAGTCGACACACAAGAATATACATACTCATCCTGTATTATAAGATAATGACTTGTATACGAGCAGGAGCGTGAAAAACAAAGCGATTTTGAGTGAAGCGTGGTTCCAACTCGGCACCAGCCTGATGCCTGATGCATCTATCAAGACTGTGGAGCGAAATGCTGTGCCAGAAGCAATGACGAAGAGCAGACCAGGCACTAGGCAGGTTGCCAATGCGACTGTACCGAAACAACCAGCAGAGGCATCAGCCAGCGTTGGCAAGACCTCCAACGAAGCTCTGCATGCTACAGTATGCAGTGCCAAACATGGATACGAGGCGCAGAGACCAGATCTCGTTACTCGAGCAATGAGATTGTTCTGGAACATGTGCCGCCCTCTTGTGGAAAAATCTTCAGATAGGAGCACGCTTGCTGAGCAGGTTAAGCTCATCCTGAAGTACAGTGCAAAAGTATGTTTGCTGTTGTTGTGTCTTGCAATTTTGTAGATGGTTGAGCAAAGGTGGTTTGAATACCTACGGTTGAGTTCTGACCAATAAAAGAAATGATTATATAACAACATACTGTCATACTAATAATGATATTAGTTCACTGTTGATCTACTCTGAGGAATTACCTACTTATGATTGTATGATTATTAGATAAATTGGACTAATTTTCCGGTATGGAAGCCTTTCCAGTAGTAGTGTTTCATGAATTGCAATATCCCCAGGGTAGAAGATCTGGACAGAGTTGTGCTGATGCCGATGATGCTTCGATACGTGCTGCCCTCTATGCCGTACTTCTGCAGTCCCATGCTGACAGGGAGCAGTGGAAACTCTGCTTGCACACTGCAGACGAAGCACTCAAGTCCCTGCCCAGGGGGCGCCACTGCCTTCCCATATACCGACTGCGCATTCTGGCGAGTGCCATGATGCACCTACCTATCGATGCAGACATCAAGAAATTCGTCGATGAGGGAGACGAGCAGGTCGCAGCTCTGTGGAGGATGGTTGCCATGACGATGTCCAACATGGAGGACCGAGTGCTAGCGCTTCATCAGGGAGTGCAGGCATTAGCGGCGCCGGCATCGCGCTCACGCCGGGTTGAGCTTCTTTTCGAGATCGCCGCTGTGCTACGAACTGATAGGTCGAGCCGAGAGAGGGTTACACCGGTGCTACAGGATATTATAAATTTGCTTTCTGACTTGGAGACCCATGTTGTTACCACCAGCAATGCCACTCTGACAGCACAGTCGCGGGATAATCCTGAGAAAGGTCTTTATAAACTGCATAAATTTCTAAAACATGATGCTTGTCATTTAAAAATTCCATGCTGTATGTTCTAAGTGCATTATTGAAATGGCGAGTCCATCTCAATGATATCCGGAATTTAAATATTAGTTGGTTTGCATTTGGATACATTTTCAAGACTATCAATTGAACAACTGTTACGTAACGAATCTGCCATAACAAATATGTAATTGCCACTAAGATGGCTATGTGGTAATGAATGATATGGGTGTCCTGCAGATCAGTGCACGTTGGGAGTGTGGTGGTTAGACTGCCAGGTCAAGGTTCATGTCCTGATGGCTGAACAGGCAGGTTTCGGTACAGACCAGCATCGCAGTGAGAGTATGCAAGCTGCGGACTATGCCACCAGGCTTGTGCAAGTATGACTCATCCTCTGAACTTCAGCGTGATTATTGGTTATAGTTTTACTGTAACAAGTCGTTTTATTGGGAAATATTAAAGTAGCTATGTGATGATCATGTTATGGCAGCAGCACGATCTCAAAAAGCAAAAGATATACTGTATTAATATTTTTAATTTGGATTTCATATGAAAAATTCCAATTCCATAGTTCCAAGTTTAGTGAAAAAAACAACATGCATATTCATAGATGGTGCTGAGATCAGCATTAGAAGATGATAAACTTCGCATCAGCTCCGGCAAGTCTGTAGGATCGAGAGACAGCAAAACTGGCAAAGGAAGGTCAAAGATCGGTGCATGTACTATGCCCAACAGTGCAGAAGAATGGGCGGAGTTCAATATACCAACGGAGGCAAGTAGGATGATTTCTGTACTATTTATTATTAAATTACACTCTTCCAAACTTATGGCAACCTGGCGGCACACTATATCTACACACACATGCTACTCTAATTAGAACTCTTTATGTTGTTTTAAATTCTTTACTATTCACGCACGCACGCACACACGCGTGTTTATTTACATGAGGCCATATAAAAATGTTGTTTGTTTGCCCTCCTGCCGACCGAACACACTCACCCGACCGACCCGCCTAAAAGGGGCCCGACTCTAAAATTTTTATTGATCTTTCCCATTTTTTTTTTTTTTAACAAATTGTATCACTGTACATTACATAAATCTGTAGGCAATACATTATATGTACCAAGCAAAACAGACATTCAACATAAAAGGTATATCCACACAAGCACACCCGAGCATGTAGACACCATGCTGTATTTGTAAAAAGACCCCCCCTAAAAAAAAGCCTACCTACCCAAACTTTTCAGCCTGGTTCGGGTGAGGGCAAACAAAGATTTTTTTAATTGTGGCCTGATTCTTTGTGCAGGTCCTTCATGTTCTACGGAAAGATCAACCTGGTTTAACCTCTGTGAGTGTTACCACGGTCAACAACCCTTCTATGTCCTTTGAGCTCATTGACCAGCTGATTGATAGCTTGCATACTCTTGGCCTGACACTACTGTGCTGCCCCCTGCTGGTACTGCAGCAGTTGCTCGGGGAAGGGTTGCTACAGTCAAAACCGCTGGTTGCGTATGTAAATCTGAGATACCTGAAGATCTGCGAGGATTTGGGTTTGACTGATGCGGCAGAAAGATGGAGCCACTGTCTGCATGACGTTGGCATGACCATTGAAGTTGCATTATGGTATGTCATTGGTTTTAACGATAGCGATCACATGATGCGGATGTTCATCTACTATTAGACAATCTTAAATTCTTGATTCACAAAAAGATTCCTGACAATAATTTGTTAGCTTGACATGCTGATGTTATTTTGAGCACGCCACTATCAATAATGCCTGTTTGAATCAATCCAATTTCTGTTACTGGCCGATGAGCTGCTGCAGTAGTGTAATAGCTAACTCCTTCAGTGGCGTCAACATTCTATACTGTTATAACGCATCTCAACTATGTACTTAATGTACGTTTTGTCAATGTTGGTCTAGAAATAAAATAAAAAAGATTTGAAAAAAATAAAAAATAAAAAAAACAAAACATTCTATACTGTTTGTAGCCTACAAGTGCCCGGGACTGACGTACAGCAAGTAGCGATGATTGAAAGGGCCCTGATAGGGCAAGCAGACGTTCTGTACAAGCTGCATCGGCCTGCAGAGGCAGTGGCCTGTGCAGAGGGAGCACAGCAATGTGGTGAGATGCTGCGAGGACGAGTCATGCTCTCACACGCGACGAGGGACCTGTTAGGAAGACTGCTCCTGACCAGGGCTTTGTTGGTTCTGCAGGCAGGTAAGTGCCCTGATGAGTATTGATAAGGGATGCAGCGGGGTCGGTCAGTGCACGAAATTAAGCTGGGAAGGGTGCATTTTATGTTCGCATGAATGGTTATCTAAGGGGGATATAAGCAGCAGTACACAAATTTTAGACATTCTCTATTCATGATTCACTATTTTGTGAGCCACCCGGAAAGAAACGCTATCCATGAAATTGCTTTCATGACTGTCCACGCCAGGTGACACGCACGCTGCCCTGCGGCTGCTGCAGCAGGCCCGTCGGCTGCCGTCGACCGTCTCCCTCTCGCGGGACGTGATGCTGGGAATCATCGAGACCCTGGTGACGGCGGGCCGTACCGACGAGGCGGTCGGGTTTCTCGACGAGGCGGCGCGTGACGGAGAGGCTGCGGGGAGTCGCGACCGCGCTTACTACCGAGCATCACTGCGGGGCTTGCATGCAGGCCTGCTAGCACACACAGCCCCGGACCGCAGCAGCGAGCTAGATGTTGTCGACCTTAACAGTACGACGGGCAGATTATTTGAGGAAAGCTGGAAGGAGCTTCTGCAGCTAGGGTATGTGCGCGAGGCGTTGGGCGTCGCCACAAAGCACGCAGATTTCCTCGCCTGCGTCGGCGCGAACAGCACCGATAAGCTGCAACTGTATGAGCGCCACCTTGAGGCTCGCAGAGTGCTGGTCAGTGCGGAGGTGGAAGCAGACAAGCTTCTCACTACCACCAAGCGAGATCTCGGAGGGCAATCAAGTCTCTGTCGGCCTGTGGAGAGAGAAGTTGTGACTGTCAAACTGGACCATTATGAACTCTGCTTGGACATGCTGGAACTATGGACAAAGGAGAAGCTGCAATATGATATCGAACAGCGAAGCAAGCATCCAACAGTGAGGGTATGTTTTTTAGTGTACCTCAATATTACTAGGCTGCGAGGTATTATTCAGATAACTGATAGATCAGCACGTATTAAAATTTGATGTAATATTTTATTCAGCAAGATGATAGGATGTTTTACTTACACTCATTGTGTGCTCTGGCAGTTGATCGAGGAATACACATGGTCAGATGAAGATATGCCGGTGCAGCAGAGGGAATGGCAGACAACATGTTGCTCCCTGGCCACTAAAGTTCTCTGTAGTCTGAGCAAGCTGCATGATACCTTCGACCACTATCCGACCCTTCATGCTAGGTAATGTCATTTTACATGTATCAGGAGACATGTCTGGAGTATATTACCTATTCTCATGAACTTAAGATGTCGGGAGCTTAAGGTGAAGAGCGTCTGTACGTGTTATAGGTATCTGTGGCTTCTGGGAAGATGCAAGGAGTTGGCATCAAATGCAGCTGGCTTGCATCAGCCTCTTCAGTCACAACTGCGAGCTGTCCTCAGCTCCCAGCCATCGCAAACCAACAACGACGAAATCCACACGACCGATGACTGTCAACCCAAAGTGGGCATGCATCAGAAACCAGATCAGCACATCTCACAGACTATGGTAAAGAAAATGGTTAAGAATTTTCGTAATACAGGTCATGTACTGATGAAACTCTTTGAATATCAATGGTATTTAATTTCAGGTAATATATAATCTTTTCACGAGATTACGATATTCATACACACATTCATGCACCCATATATATATATACTTGTTGATTACAAAGGGTGCTATACATAATGAGTAATCAAGCTGATCCCAATTATCCTTGCGCGTCTACAGGCAGCTGCAGCACTTACTCATCAGCTGCTGTCAGAAGCATCTGAACATTTGCAGCTGTCATGCAAGATCGCCTTGCAGTCTGGATGCTTACACACAGCTGCTGGAGCAGCTCTAGGCTTGGTAGAACTCTGTGGGCATAGTGATCCACATCTCGCTGGAGAATATCTTGCCTTATATCAGGTCTGATTAATCATCCTATAGATATCCTAGTTGGGTAATCGAGTCCCCATGCATTGCATGCATGAAGTGCAGCAAGTCATGAGCAGTAGAAATGATAGGAATGCTATTTAAGAGTGTTGTGTTGAATAGCGCGCAGCTGACTTTAATAGAGAATACCTGCAGCACAACCTTGGCTTTGACATTCTACAATGAATCGCTGTCTTCAGAGCTGCCTAGCGTCAGACAAGCTGCGTGAGGTTCTGTCGTATGCTTTAAAGAGGGCGCCACATACACTGCTGACGTCGGGGGAGAGGTTGCTGCAGCACGCGGAGGTGGCTGATACCTGGACTGGCGAATCAGTGCACAGCCAACTCCTGCATAACTATACGGTGAGCCAATCAGCGAATCTTGCAAGCAGGACTGCATGCGGATCGCAAATGAATTCACGCTCAGTTGAGGAAGTAACACACGGAGGAAGAATCTGCACTCAGATCATGGACTCATCCTTGACAGACGATGAGGGTTTTGCTTGTTACTATAGTTCACGTTCACCTGAGAGAACATGGATGCGCAGTCACAGTCACAAAGTGGTGTTGTTATGCCAATGCTTTCTGCTTCCCATAGGCCTGGCAGACACTGCAGGTGAGCCCACAGCACTTGGCTCTGATGAAGGATCTGCCTGCAAACTTCACTGTAGTTGTATTACAACATTCCCTCGACAGGTTAGTGAGCCGTCCTGTGTTAGCTAGCTGAAGTCAAATATATATATATATAATTATGTCTTTACAGATGAAAGTGTGCCATTATAATGCTATATTTATACAGTAATACCAAATAGTAATGTATTGTAAGTGCCAATTTTATATATAAAAAAAGGTTTCACTTTCTGTATGAATCTGATTCAAGTTAACAATCGTTGTAAATTATTCATTTAACGTAACTTGAGATCTGACGTATTAGCAGAATGACGTATTCAAAAACTACATCAACTATCAACTTAGCATGATATATAATGTATTGCAGATCGATGCTGTATGGTGCAGTACTGGAGAAACCAAAGCACACGACTGGCAAGATGGTCAAACAACCTGGCATTCATGATCACCCAATCGTCTGCCGCATGCAGTCGAACCCAGACAAGTTGCGCCTCCTGGTGGATCAATCACGAATGCTGAGTGACAAGTTAGATGCAGCAGAGCATAAAAGATGTATGTTCTCAGAAAAACAGCAACAGGGGTCAGCCACACAAGCTGAGGGGAAAAGAGAGTGTGAGGAAGAACTACAAAACCTCGTGGCCTCTACAGAAATGTACTTGCAACCAGTATTGTCACAGGTATTGACATGTGTCTTGTGTCTATTCCACCAGGTCCACTGTCGTCAGCTTCTAAACATGGCTTTCTATTGTGTCGTGACATCGCATATCCCATTGTCATTGATTCATTGCCTCGACTCTTCTGTTGCAGATCAGCGAAGTCTTCCAGATGGTCGATAATTCGGCATCCCATCAGCAGGAGGCGCTAGTCATTCTCGCCGACTGCTGGCTCATGCAGCTTCCTCTAGAGTGCCTGCAAGTGTGCAGTGGCTTTGGAGCTGTGTGCAGAGACTTCTCACTACAGATCTTACACCACAGGTTACACTGTTATGACATAGCGTAATGGGGTACCTGGCACCTTGCCTCGCAACTAGTCAGGTCATGGCTGTATTTGACGTAAGGGGTAAATAAACATGGAGTGTTGGAAAAATACCTCGCTCACAGACAGTATTATCTATTTTGGGAATGGAATTTTGACGCGATAAGCCTGAATCTAAGATTATGCATGCTGCCTCGCATAACACGCTTCCCCACATGCTGCTCCATCCCAGGTTTCACCACTCGACTAAGAAGGACGAACGAAAAGGATCAGCGAGCAGCGATACAGCTAGCAAGAAAAAAGCCGACAAGAAGACGGCTGGGGGAAAAGCTGCAAGCCTGCGTCCGGTGCCCGCAGGCTACGTGGGGGCGCCACTAGCGGGCACGCGCTACATAACTGACCCGCACGCGGAGAGTGAGGTTACAGAATCGGTGTTGCGGTCTGTGCTCACTCAACATGCAGCTCTGACAGCCAGCTGGGACGGCTACCACGGTGAGGTCACCACCACACACTGTACAGTAAAACTAGATAAATTTCCTTTCAGATGGATCAGTATGTATTAGTTTTTGGGAATTTACTATGAGGTAGGTGATTAGACGAGGTACATATTCATGTAGAACTGGGGTGATGCTTCCAATAACGTGTTGCACCTAGGTTAGTAGACATTTTTCGTCCAACAATTGCCGAACGATCAAGCATAACTCAGCCCTCCTCAGCACGTCAGTCGATAAAGATGAAAATCAACAAGTTATCTGCTTGTGGATCATTACAGGCAGTAAGCACCAGCCGAACCTCACAGAGTGGCAGGCAATGCTGGGCGGCTGTAAGAGCTTTATCTACTGTGGTCTGGAGAGCCTGACATGTGAGCTGCAAGCACATGTTCTGGTGCACCTGTCCCTCAGTGGTAAGCAGATCGTGTTGAGCTTCAATCGCGTGTACACCTGCCGCACGTTAGACGACAGCGACCGATACGATAATGCCGTTGTAGTCGAGTTCACTCGTCGAGTTCCTCTATTCTTTCTAATGGTCGACTAAGTGTGTTGCGCTCGTGTTATTTATTATTCGTGAACCCGTTGCAGACTGTGAGCTGATGGTTTTAGTCGACGGAGCGCACACCAAAGAGAGCCTGTTGCGAGTCGGCAAGCTGCGGCCAAGCTTCGACGACCGTCTATCCACGGCGCAGCTACTGACCATCTGCGGCGTCAGATCGCTCGTGACAAACGCACTGCCCAGCTCGACAGCTGAGAATTGCACGCAGATACAGCGTGTCCTGACAGGTGAGTTGATAGGGTAGACGGGGGGGCTGGGTTTTTATTGAGAGAAAGAAGAACAAATGAGGAGGTACGACGAATAGCTGGACTAAGAGACATTAAGGAAGTTGTAATGTAAAGGATGAGATGGTATGGGCATGTGGTTCGGAAGAGAGATGAGGAGCAAACGAAGAGAGCATGACAGGAGCCGGTGAGAGGAAGAAGGACGAGAGGACGACAGAGAATTAGATGGAGGGATGGAGTGGAGACGGAGATGAGAAGGCTGGGAGTAACACAGGACGATGCGGCCGAACAAGGGAGGTGGAGAAGAATCATCAACAGGGGCGTCTCAGCATGGATCATCTGCGAGAGATTACGACAAAGAAAAAGAAAAGACGGGGTGCTACATTGGCCACAAGCGCGAGAAAGTCGTGGCTGCGATCCGAATGTTCTGTGAAAGAATCGCAGTGTCGTGCTCGGCCTCTGATAATTCTATTCCGTTGCAGAAATGCTAGAGAACAATAGGAGCACAGGCCAGGTGGTTCAGCAGATGTATTGCCCACTAGATAGCGCTGCCAGTCAACCGCAAGCTGAGAATCCAACAAGTGACGTTGCCAAGCAACAGACTGGGCGCTTCGTCTGCTACGGTCTACCAAACGTTGTTTTCTGCTGAGCCCGTCATCCAAGCACTGTCACCGATTGTCGCAAAACAAAGCATGAAGGAGCTGATCCGGTCACATTATAGACATGGTTAAATGCTACAAACTGATTCAACTGAAAAAGTCTCAACCCCCACCATCCATTTTTCCCATCTAGACTAGTAGTATTAATGAAATTGAGATACACATTTGCGAATGAGATATACGTACAAAAATTCAAACAAAACCTGTCGGACTTGTTTGGATTCCTAAAACCTCTATAATAAAATCTGAAAACTCAAGTCTAAAATACATATTTGCAGAAGGGTTAACCAAGAAATGCAAATAAGAAGGTTGTACATTTTTTCTCATTTAGACTTCGCTGAAAGAGGTCAGATCTAGAGTTCATTAAGCCAACCTACTCGTTAGCCTGTTAATTAGATTTTCTGCAACCTTATTTGCTTCCTTACCTGAAATTTAACAAAATTATTAGCCATCTTAACCCTTATCTACTACCCGTTATCTTTTATGTGCTGTTGAGTATGCAATTTAAATATATAAGTATAGCTAGGTGCTTGTTTTTTGTAATAGCCATTAATAAACTGCCAGCAATAAAAAGTATGAGAACAGCAAAAAGGTTAACACTAACAAAATTTACAGGTACCAACAAAATAATTTTATTACAGATTATTGCTCTCGGTAATACAGCATCGATTGTCACGTTTTTGTTCAACTGATACTATCGCAAGCTAACCCATTGTCAGCATATGAGAACAAATGTCCAGAATTAATCAATATACTTTAACCATAACAAAGTAAATAACACATGGGTTCTTGATAAATGTACGACTGTAAATTCAGCAGTGAATCTATGAAGGAATCGTCCACATTGCAGGGTCATGATTGCATTGAACAACTGCCCGGCATGTGGCTCCATCTCTGGTTAGCAATTGTGCATGCCTTAAAGGGCCAAAAGTGGTTTCCGACAATACTCAAGCACCGGTAGTTCATTCACGCCCACACAAACAATAAAGACAGGACACGTACATCACCATACACCTATTATTAGTAATAATATAAATATAAGTTCTCTCTTAAAAACCAATTGCTCCCAATATCCATGTAACGAGAAAATGAGCTGGGACTTGTCTTGGTGCCACAGCTGTGCGTTAGACGACAATCGTTGTCAACACACTGCTACATCTTCGTGTGATGCAGCAGCAGGAGAGGAAAGAAGAGTAAAGCTGCACCGATCGTGTAGCAGGGCATTGGGCCAGCGATCCAGTACACTAAAAAGCCACAATGAGTTAGCATCAGGTTATGGTCATACACTCAATCATTGCATATGATTTTCATTATATTCCTTGCTGTGTGAAAATCTAATTAATTGGGTAAATTTTGTCAATAGGCTATGACCCTGATCTGCAATCTCTGCCAGTAATAATGGAGCCATGTTGGCTAGTATTATCAGGCAAAATTTACAGTATCAGTATCAACTATCAACTATTGGGTTTATTCCCAATTGGCCTACTCCCGTTTCGCCTACAGAAAAATTCCCATTTAGCCTACAGCAAAATTCACAGTTGGCCTACACCCAATTCGTCTACGCTCAAAATCTACCCCATTCCCATTTCGTCTACGATCGGTTTGTTTACTAAATAATCATTTATAAATAATAAAATATGGTTTTGCTTGGCATACATAGACTACATTAACCAGAAGAAACATAGGTACAAATAATGAGAACACAACTTGACAAAAATAGAAAATACAGTAGCATAATGGGTGTAGGCGAAATGGGAATATTGCCGATTCTGAGAGTAGACGAAATGGGTGTAGACCAACTGGGATGTTACCACCAAGAGGAAGTAAAACCTAATTATGTACAATAAAAAATTCAAAATATAACCTACCACCGCAAGCAACGAAGGGTCCAAGAGCCCTAGCAAGCGCTCCGAGTGAGCGGAATATGCCAATCATAGTACCCTTTTGTTCAGTAGAGCCATAGGATGAGATCATCGTGGTTATACACGGAACCACTGTGGCAGATGCTGGAATGCATAACAATATAGACGATACATTTCAACACGACCACACTAGGAATTCTTTAGTTGTTACATAGTTTAAGTGTAGAAGATTCATGTAATCCACGCAATAACAGCTGCAGAATCTACACGTGGACGAAGTGCAAGTGATTTCCATGTATATAATGCTACAGGAGCAATTCACGAGTAGAGTAAACAACAAGTCATGCTTACAGAACGAGTATAATGCCAATCCCACGTAGAAAATGCTAGGAGACACTCCAATTCCGATGATAACAAAAGATGGTATCACAAGAATCAGACCCTGAAATATTCAAATGTTACTTGTGGTTTTCTAATACTCATGAGATAACAAGTATTGATAATTAATTCTGCCAGTTTTGGGTACGAGAGTGGGTGGGGAAACAAGAGGATGGAACAGGGAGAAGGTCCGAGGTAGGGGTAGAGGTAGCCGATTGGGGAGTGTGGAAGAGGGGGAGAAGGATTGGTGATAAAACAGAGGTGGAATGAGTGGAGAGAGAGAGAGAGAGAGAGAGAGAGGGAGAAGTGGTATGGAGGAGGGCAAACAGGGACGGGTGGGAGGAGACAAGTTAGATGAGGGTGAAAGGTTACAGAAGTGATTGAGAAGTAGTATGGAGGATAAAAAGAGAGAGGGTACAGGACAATGAGGGCGAGAAAGAATATGGAGGTATAGAATGGAGGAAAAGAAATGGGATCTCTAAACGCGTAGACGTATCAATCCAATTCGGATGCACAAATATAAAGCTAATAAAGGTCTCACAACAATTTGCAGAGTAATGAACTTAAATGCTCAATTACAGATTTCTCTTTAGAAATAATACATATTCGCTTCATCATCAGGAAAGGAATCATGGTCACACTCAATAACATCAGTAAGCTACCGAGTTTTCTTCATGAGGGCAATTGCACGACATAGCTACCACCTGTAGCTCTCAAGTTAATAGCCGATCAGGCCAGCAGCATACACTGAATGTTGATAGAAAGCTTGGCCGGTATGTGCAGTTGGGGATTGGTGTTAATGGATACAAGAAAGTGGTCATTCTGCATGGTGCTTGTAAAACAGCATTGTTAGCATGGAGTTTTATACCGTTGCTATGAACAAGTGGCTATTCTATGGGGGTGGCTGCTAACAGGTATGATTGTATTACACTATACAGTCAAACCTCGGTTTATCCGAACAAGACCTCAAGGTCCCATGAATATTTAACCTTTATTTACGATCAGATCAGTTATCCGAACAAAATACTCCCCGCCCGTCTCGTTCGGATAATCGAGGTTTAATTGTAGATACATCCCAGTATGCATAGGGATGGCTAGACTAATATTGAGGCTACACTAGCCATCTTAGCAATGAAACCTAACTGTGCATGAAACCTTGATTGGGTAAACGTGGTCCCAGTTCATACATCATTTCACAAGTTGAGAACAACAACTCAGAAATTCACACGAACATAAGAAGAGATAATACACGCATTTATCAGATCATTTGTATCGACAAAAGATAGGAAATCCCAATATTACCATTAACGCTGTTCTCTTTTCGTTTCCAGCCTTGACTCTTCTCACATAGCCACCTATGAATGCACAACATGCTTACTACAAACACAACAGATATCACTAACACAATCGAATGATTTCACAGCAGGGTAGTCTTCTCCATTTACATATACCGCACAGCCAGCCATTAAAATGATTACGTCACCGTAAATAGTAACAAGTGCCGCAGAGCGACAGCGCTCATCTCACGTCTACTGTGGTGACTCTGTGGTGGAGTGGTGGGATTCTAGTAAACCCTGTTAGTCCCAAATGTGTTCACATACGCGCCGAAACAGTGGAAGGCACAGGGATGGTATCAGGAATCTTCTCAAAGGAATGTTCATTGGGATCGTTATGAAAGTTGCCACGAGATGGCGCGTACGTTTAAGTGTCTTAAGATTAAAGATGGAAGCTCCCATCGTATGTAGTAGCAACAACTATTTGCAAGACAGAATAGGTAAGCACTCATCCATTTACTTACGCAAGCCTACCGGCTGAAATAGAGAGCTGCCACCTGTAACTAATTAACGCAGGCAAAAACTACACAGTGCTATCACCACCAAAATGGCCATGGCCAGTGGCCACTGCAGTGGGCATTAACGAGTCGACAGGTACCCACACTGACACGGTAGCGATGCCATAGAAACTTATACGATTAAGGCGCCAGACCCAAATGAGCATAAACCCTGTCTTCAGCAAATGGTACGCTTTCTGAAATTGTCACGTGCTGCAATGTGTAGCGCTCATAGCCATCCAGGGTGCCCGGCAGGTCAAAGTCTGATCTAACAGTAAAAAATCGGGCGATGTGATTGTAACCTCCTCGTTGAGGCGGGCACGAGGCGGAGTTATCCCGAGGCACGTTACGGTCTGGGCGGGCATTTCAGGCGGAGATAGTACATGTCATGGTCCTCATTCACATAAAGCCAATAAAACATGGCTCAGGTGCACCGACTGAAAAAAAAGTTTTCAATTGGCCCGTCAGACCATTCCTCAGAAAAATGTCAAAATCTGCCCTGTGCCTTGACTTTGAACTCAATGATCCGGCCAGTGATGGCTTGCCTACATGAGCTCTATACACGACTATCACGAGGCCGTTCACGGCGAGGCCGGTTTAGATTTGTGCCACATCTCTGCAGTTTTCCTCGTATACCTTGAAAGTTACTACCATACGGTTAAGGATGGTCTGCCGAACGGTTGGACTGCACGCATGCGACGGACCGCGGAGCAATCATGGGCGCTTCTACAGACGCTGGACACTGACCTAGTCAGGATGACGCTAAGAAATTAAAGAACAGTCGGTCAACTTTCTCACAAACGATACTAAAGCGAATTCTGCTTCCTTATGTATTTAAGTATAAAGCTGGCCTGCAGGAGACTGCATAGGTCTAACTAGGATGGGCGAGGGTGACAGACCG